TTGGGAACACGCCACTAATATTTAACACACACAAATGTAACTTGGTGCATGCAGTTCTCGGGAGGCGGGAACTGGTGCAGATGTTGACCTCTAACCCGGAAGTCAGTACGTACCACTTAGTCTTGAGGGGTGTTGTTTGTTACCTCCGTGAAAAATGGAGGTATTGTTTTTGGCGTGTCTGTCTGTATGTATGTATGTATGTCTGTCTGTGTGTGTGTCTGTCTGTGTGTGTTTCCGCAACTTTGTAGTCAGCATAACTTCAGAACACCTTTATGGATTGTGATGATATTTGGTATGATGGTTAGTCTTGGAAAGACAAAGGTCATGGTCAAGTATGGGCCTCATGGTGGATGACCTTGGTACTGCAGCAGAACTTCCGGTTTTTGTATCTTTTGTCCTGAACAAGCTATGGTCTTGACTTTTGGGTGACAGATAGCTTATCTTGTCAGGAATATTTGGCGTAAGTTTGGTCCCTCTAGCAGCTTGTTCTGGAACTGCAGGTTAGTTTCTGGTAAATACTTTCAAAGCCAATAAGTCCAGTTTGGAACGACGTATTTTCATCATTTTTGGTGTGTAGGTACCTGAGAGACAGTTGTACATGATTAAATGCAAATTATGCAAATGAGGACTTAATTTGCATAATTAATGAGGAAATTCTATAATTACATTGTTTCATATAATGGTACTGCTATACCTGTAATCTATTTAATCTGTGGCAGGCGGAACATCAACAGATACCAATTATGCAAATGATGACCTTATTTGCATAATTAATGTGAAAATTCTGTGAATCCTTATTGGTGAATGATGGGAATTTTATACCTCGTAACATTTTGTAAGTTACTTAAAGGTTTGCATTGCTATGCATATTTTATGTTAATGTAGAGGTTATTTGCATAATTAATGACGACAAAGCAAGCCCATATTTCATGGAGGTATGAGATCTCGGAACTCTTGTTTTGTTTGATTCAAGACCATTCAATTCTCTATTTCAACTACAAAATAT